AAAAGGAAAGAAGAAATGAGTAAAACGTTCTCGTTAATTTGTAACAATAATACAAACCCTGTATGTGCCTGTGATTTCAGGTTGAATATTTATGGATGTCCCGAAGAATATATTTTAGTAAAATCCAATCAAATACTGATAGGATATTGCTTCCTATTAATATCGTGTTCAATAGCAAATCTTTATTATTTGATTGTCAAAAAAGATTACTCTTTCTTGTTGCAAAACCAAAAATATGGTGGTTACCTACGACTAAGACCTCAACATACTTATCACGGGATTGCCTTGGCTTATTTTAGTTGTAAGTAATAAATTTTAGAAAATATGAAATATTAAGGTTCGAAAATTATTTCTATTTTTAAAAATAATTATTTTTGAAATTTTTTTTTTTTTAGCTCAATCTATTCATTCTTTATTATTATTATACGATACTTATCCGACTATTTTTTGGGCAGAAAGTAAGTGTTCCCGCCACTTTTCCTTCAAATCATATTATAACTAATGTAATTAATTAATAATAAACTTAATATTTTTTTTTTTTTAAAAAAAGTTGGATTTATATCGTCACGTGCATTATCAGCTTCATTGTCTATCTTATATCTAATAAGCATTGGTAATTATTATTATATAATATTGTCATCAATACGATCAAACCTTATCACAACGGATCCATAAAAGAATTTCATTTAAAATCTGTTATAACTATAATCCGTTGTGACAAGGTTTGACCGTATTATTTGTTGTATTTATCGTTTGCACGAAATTAATTATTCTTTTATTTATATTCTTATTATCAGTTTATTCAACTTCAGCGTTTAAAGTTGGTACCAATTTTGGCAATAACACGCGTTCATCCTCAACATTAAGTCAAAGACATCAACAAGAGTACCAAAAATCGACTACTTCATCTTCTAGTTACAATAAATTATTGATAGATTTAGTATGTTTATTTATGATGATAATTCCAATTGTGGCCTTTATATCACTAGCAGGCATAACTGGTTACTATGCTGATAAAATGAATTTGGATACGGCCAATAAAGTTTTCACCATACACAATTTGATTTGGATAGTTTGGATTATTATATATGTTGTGATTATGTTGATAGTTTGGGTGAGATTTATTCGCATAGTCTGGGAAAACATGAATGAATTGATGGAAGGCAATAGAAATAGAAGTACCGAGTTACAAAGTAAATTGGTTCAATTGAGAAAAAGTAGTATAAATTTATCATTGCCGGTGCTAGGACAAGTTGTTGTTGCAATTATTTATTTACCTGCGCACTTAATGTATGGATTATATCAAAGAACAGACACGATATTTAATCATAATATAAATTTATTATATTTTTTCATTTGGAATTTCCTAATACCTGTTGTTACGCACATCATTCAATGGATAATGACTTACAAGTAAGTGTTGTAAATCTATATCTAATAGCATTCGAGCAATATTTAATATAATGATAATGATATTAAACCTAAATTTTCCCTTTTAATTTTTTTAGTGTATTAACAATGCCTTCGTCATCAACTAAAAAAACCTTCAATGATGATAATTCAACCAGTTATCATTCAACATCCTCGTCTTCCTTTACAATTAATAACAACGATGAAATTAACAACATTAATAAGGATTTTTCTTTTTTTAATAACAATAAAAAAGTCGAAACAATATCAATGGTTGAATTAACAAGAAGTAACGTCGAAGAAGGATCAATTTCAATTTCTTTAGATTATAATAAATCAATTCTATCGAAATTACCATCTTGCTCCTCATTAAAATCTAATATCAACAACGGCA